ATTCCTTGGGTATTTGCATCATTGCATCGCAGCCTGTAATTACAGGTCACCTAGTCTAGTACATCTCCTCACAACCTGAGAGCTGGGACTGAGCGCTGCAGTTAAGGCTGCAGATCAGATGAGTCATGCTGGAGATAGGATGACTCTACATCCCCGTTTGGCCGGGACAGTTCCCTTTTTAAGCTCTGTCCTGACCATCCTGACTTTTATGACAAAAATGTGCATTTATCCCGTTTGGTGTTTGGCAGCGGGAGAAGCGCTGGGAGGCAGGGCGAGGAGCGGGAACGGTGGGTGCGGGACAGAGGTGGAGGGTGGAGAAGAGCTGGCGGGGCCTTGGACTGCAGCCGAAGCGGAGCAGGCCGGGCTGGGGCCCCGTTGGCCCCTGGGCCAGGCCCCATGGCACCAGTGGCGCCATTGTAAACCCGGTACTGCTCATGGTGACAGAAACAAGGCCCCAAACATCAGCTAATGGCTCGGGCCACAGGGCCAACCCTGGTAAAATGAACATCCTGTGGTGCAGTTTCTTCCTCCAAAGAAGTTTGTGGCCACACCCTTTAGTGGGGCGTTGTCCCCCCAGCCTGTCGCTCTGGGCTGACACTTTGTGGTGAGTACCACAGCCCCGGGGGAAGCACCACCATTCGCTTCCCAGCACCGAGCCAGCCCTGCAAACACTGGGCCACCTTCCACCTTGCGGTGACCCCATCCTGCAGGGCCAGGAAGGGTCCGAGTCCCGGGTGAGGCTGGCTGGCAACCTGTCTGAGGCAAACACCTCAGCAGGAGCGAGGCGCCCAGAACAGGACAGTGAAGCACAAGGCTACGGGTGCCCAGCGCAGCTACTGACACACCAGGGTGTTAGGATGCAAAGCCACAAGCCCTTGGAGGGATGCTGTCTCTGGGATGGGCGTGTTACGGGGCACATCACTCGCCGCCAGACTGGCACCTCCTCCTGGTCATGCTGGGGTGGAGTTTGAGGCCGCCCCCGTCTGCAGCTTGCACAGCGTCACTGCATCTGCCGGCAGCCCCCCTCACCGCCTCAGGAACCACAACACCCTCTTTGCAACTCAGCCCTTCAGCCGTGTCACCATCCGTGTTCCCCTTCTGGGATTAGTATTCCAGCCTAACAGTCCAGCTGCTTCCCCTGTGGGGCAGGGGAGAGACCCAGGCCCACCCACTACTCCTGGTCCCAGCCCAGGCATCCTGTACATGGCAGCCACATGCTTCGCCCCCTCCAACTGCTCAGCACATTTTCCGGGGCCACTTCCCCGCGACCCCAACACCTTCTTCACTCTTACCTCAGGGCCACAGTCCTAGCCGCCAGCTGGGAGTTCCCTCTCGCTCCCCTGGTCCCTGCCAGCACTGCTCTGTCCATGGTGCTGCAGGGCTCTCCGCCTGCTAGAGACACAGTCCTGACTCCTCAAGCTCCCAGCAGCCACTGACCAGCTCTGGCCCAGGGGCTTCTTTTATGTGAGCCTGCTGGGCTCTGATTGGTCGCTCCCTGCAGCCCTTCCCTGATTCCCTGTGCCCAACGCAGCCTCTCTAGGCTGATCGGAGGACCCAACTCCACTGCTCACATGCAGGATTAACCCCTTTTACATCTGTGTGCGGTAGACACCCCATCACACACCCTCCTGCTCAAGACTGCATCCCTCGGGGGGTTGGGCGTCTCCTACCCTGCAGCTGCCTAAACTGCATCTGTAGCTCATCCCTTTCTCTTTCTGCCTCCCTCAACAGGAGACACACGTCTGCCTGGGCCTGCATATCATCGCTAAACGTATCCCTCTGGTATGTGAGGTGTCCTCTGCTCTTTGCAATGGCTAGTTTATCTTTCACTTGCCCCACTGGGTCCCCCAGCACCCTTACGTTCAGGGTCTGAGTCCCCCCACTCGCCCCTGGGGAAGTGACTGGACAGCTGACTGCCGGGCCCCCGGAATGGGGGAGCACAGATAGGGACTCACAAGATACCCCAGTCCTTGGCGTGATGTGGACCCGAGAGCAGACGTGATGGTGGGCAAAGCACCGTTGGGAGAGGGTGCACCGACCTGCCAGCAAGAGGTGCCACTGTGGTGAGTCACGCCTTGGTACAGGGGGCACAAATCACCCCCCACCGGCTTCCTGGAGACTGCTCCGGAGACCGCATTGACTTTCCTGAGGTGCCCCAACCCTGCAGCAGGGCTTCTTGGGGGCAGATGCCGGTTGAGGTGTCCCTCTGCTGGCTGTCAGGGGCCTGGAGTGGAGCTGTAGGAGCCCAAGATCCAGCACAGACCTGCCTGGCTGAGCCTGAGGGGGGGAGGGATAGCTCAGTGGTTTGAGCATTGGCCTGCTAAACTCAGGGTTGTGAGTTCAATCCTTGAGGGGGGGCATTTAGGGATCTGGGGCAAAAATCTGTCTGGTGATTGGTCCAGCTTTGAGCAGAGGGTGGGACTAGATGACCTCCTGAGGTCCCTTCCAGCCCTGATATTCTATGAGTGTGCAGTGCCTCCTTGTGGAGACTCATGGAGTTTAAGGCCTGAAGGGATCATCAGATCATCGAGTCTGAACTCCTGTATATCGCAGGCCCTTAAAGTTCACCCATTTCCCTCTACCCTGTGCCCAGTAACGACTGTCTGGCTGAAGCGTCTTCCCCAAGGCCTCCCGGCTGGGTTTGAAGGCCCCCTTCCCTTGCAGGCTGTGCCCAGGGTTACTCACCCAGCCTGGCAAACATCCGTGCCTTGTTTCTAACTCGAGTGTGTCATGTGCTGCCTTTCTCCTCCAGGATAGAGAGCCCGTCGGTACCTGGGCTGTTCCCCCCTTGGCAGAACTTATACGCTGCATCATGTCAGCTGTAGTCTTCCAAGGGCCTGATCCACGCAGGATCCAGGTGGGCTGAGGGGGATGAACCCCTCATTTTTCTGCCGTGGATCAAACGCTGCCTCCCTGCAGGAGAAGAGTCTCCATATGGGGCACCTCGTAACATGAGGCTGTAGGGTTGGGTCTGCAGATTTCACACAGCCCTTAGCCAGGGAAACGCCCCAGTGTCACCGGCTGGAGAAGGGCTCTGGGGTTCAGTCCATTGTGGTTATGGTCAAGAGCGGACACAGCCCAACGCTTGCCAGAGCAATTCCACCTTGGGGATTCAGCAGAGCCGCGTCGGGTTGTGCTGGTGACTTGAGATGGGGAATTCAGCCGGGGGAGAGGGGAGAAATCGCCCCGTCCCTTGAAATCTCGGAGAGTCAAGAGGAAATTTGGAACCTTGACTCATCCCCAAGGCGACACCGCGAGCGAGCGTTCCACCTGGCAAAGCTGCCGTGGTTTTATACACCTTTCCCCACAAGTTGCTGCCCTTACCACCCCCAGCTCATTTTGGGGGTTCAAAACATCAATCATTCAGGAGCAGAACTGAGCCTTACAGACTCCACATTGTCATGGGCATTATTATTTATTAGGTGTATTCTTTATATGGTAGCACCTGAGCGCCCCACTCATGGCCAGGTCCCCACTGTGCCAGGCGCTGTACAATGACTACTACCTTCGTTCTCTGGGCGCGCAGCTTTTTTATTGATCATTTTGTTTTGGCCCAGCACATTTGTAGGAATGAGCAGGTACATGTATAAAGCAGGAGGGAGAGGAGGGAGAAAGAGAAGCAGGGATCGGAGCAGGGAGCTCTCTAAGCAGATTTGCATGAGCAGAATCGCTGAATGATGCCTTGCCAGTGAGAGCGCAGTGTACAGCTGGGTGGCTCTGGAGTCCAAAGAGACTGTGACCCTTGTTCCCCCGGCCTCCGACCTGCTACGGGTTCCCATTGGAAAGTGGCTCCCAGCAGGAGCCGCCAGCTGGGACCGAGGGGGAATACAGGCGGGTGACACTTTTCAGACCAGCCCCTTTTCCGGTGAAAAATGCAGGTTTGGTGAAACCGAATCATTTGGTGAATTGTTTTGGCTTCACTCAAGTGTATCGGTCAAAACTAAAAACCAACCCAGAACAAATCTAAACCTTTGGTGTGTTTGGTCTGAAACTACTTTTCCTTTTGAAATGGCCTTTAGTCTGATTAAAAACAAACACAGTTTTAAAATGGTCACAATCAAAACAAAATGTTCATTGGACTCAAAATGATTCCCCCCACCACCACCACTTCTCCATTTGCAGAATATTTTTTAAAATAAAATTTCAGTTGGTCCTACAATGAATCCCCTGCCCCCCAAATTTTTCAGAATTCCCAGCAAACCCCCAAACCTGTTATTTGCCCAGTTCTAACCAGGTCACAAAAGACGGGATAAGGACACAGCAGTAATTGGTTCCAGATGTGAAGCTACAGCACAGGAAGGTGATGCAGCCTCCACTGCAGGATACAGGCAGTGTCTTCCACCACGTCCTGTTACCAGGAGGGGTCCTTGCAGCTGTGGGCAGAGGCAGAGAGGAAGAGAAACAGCTGTTGGTTATGATGCTCGGATGTGGATGGGACCTTTCCCCTCTAGCCGGTACTGGCTCTGATCTGGTGCCAGTGGGGCAGGGAATGGGGTATAGGGCTTTTCCCCTCTAGGGGCGCCAGTTCTGATCTGGCCCCAGAGAGGGGGGACTGGGACCTGGGGCCTTTGCCCTGTAGGGGGTGCTAGCTCCAATGTGGCCCCAGGGAAGTGGTCCTGGTGGGTTTAGGGGGTCAGGGAAGGGGATACGGGGCCTTTCCCATCTAAGGCTCTAGTGCCAGTATGGCCAGTTTCAGGACAGCAGTAACTAAAGGTGCTCCTGTGGATCTCAGCCTGGGAGGAAGGTGCCCGTCTCACAGGAGTCACCCACCCATGCGCCGGAGGAGCCCTGGAGACTAAGCTCCCCAGAGCCGTCTCTTCCCGAGCAGGCGGTGTCCAGGCAGGACGCTACCATCGCTGTATGTGGCGCTCACTGGGACAGAGACTGTGTCTTCCTACGTGTTTGTACAGTGGCTGGCCCAGTCTGAGCACAACTGCAATATAAACAACAACAGGGCCCTGTGGGTGCCCGAACAGTCACCGGGACACCGTCAGCCACTGCTAGAGTTCTCCTGTCCGGAGAATAGCCCGCCCTGGTGGGAGTGACGCTGGATGGTACCTGTTCCGCAGGGTGTATTTGCAAACAAACGGGAAGGACCAGCTGGGGCCATAGTCGTTCCAGGTGACGAAGCCTAAAAGAGACGGAGTCAGAAGGAATCAACCCAGGAACAAACCGCCCGCTGGCAGGAACGGGCACTTCCATTACTAGGAAAGTCATCTGCATGTGAGAGCTAATGTGAGCTCTCTACCTGTGCAGGCATCTGTACAGTCTAGACTGGGGTGAGAGATAGATAGATAGATAGATACTGGAAAACACTAGTGGGAACTTAGATGAGGCATGAAAAGAAAGGCTGAGTGCAATATTGCCCTGGTCCATTGCCGCCTTGCATCTTGGGTCATCAGTTTCTCCGGTGCAAATTGGGTGTAAAGCTCTCTTTGCACCCACGTAGCTCTGGTAGACCTGACGGCACATGGGGCAGGCCGGAGCTGCTCCCAGCCCGAGGTGATCACACACTGTTCCGTTTGTGGAGTTCACTTTGAAAGTGGGTCACAATGGACACTGGAGTTGTCCGTCCTCTGGCACTGATCGGGGTGTATTGGGGAGGGCTCTCCCCAGGAAACTGGCCAGCCACTAGGGAGGGATTTTGTTTGGATTGGGCTGGTTTTGGGGGGGGGAGGCCGGGGTTGTCTTCCTCCGAAGCATTTGGCGTAAGCCACAGTCAGAGGCAGAGGTAGGTAGGTCAGTGGACTGAGCTGCTAGGGCAGGGGCAGGGGACCAAACCAGACAGCTCAATGATTTGATCGGATGGTGCAGCCAACCAGCAGGAACTGAATCTGGGCAATGTTCTTCTGGCGAGAGTCAGGGGGTCGAGATAATGAGCCAGCCCTGACCAAACCGAGCCACCAAGCATCTGCTCCCCCTCCCCCAAGACAAAGCTCCCACCGTTTTCCAGGGTCCAAGAGCCCAGGTAGTTTTCTCCCGGGAGACCATCGGGCTGGCCTGCAGGAAATGTCCGGAAATTGTATTTGGAACCATCCGTCCACATGAAAGACCCCTCCTAGAGAAAGGGTGACGGTGTTAGTGACTGAACTGGGGGCCAGGAGCGCTGTGGGGAGAGGAGATGGAGCAATAGCCACTAAGGGATCAGCACTGTCTCTAGCACCTAATATCCCAGCTGTGGAGGCCTCTTCCTCACTGCAGCCCTCTCCAGCACTGACAGCGTCAGCCTCACACCACCCCGGGGAGTGGGGAAGGGTCTGCCCCGGGTTACAGATAGGGAAACTCAGCATAGGGTAGATTAAGTGACTGTGCCAAGGTCACACAGGGAGACAGTGGCAGACCCAGGAACTGAACCCAGGACTCCCAAGTCCCCGTGCGCTGCCCTAAGCGCTGGGCCATCCTTCTGTCTGTGGGGCTGGCAGAGTGAGCAGCGCCGACCTGGCTTGGAATCAGCTCTGTTATAACCCTCACCCGCAGCCCTAAGCTGGCACCGTGTTCACCTTCGCGTGCCAGTGTCACCTCCACTTTGGGATCGCACCAGCCTCCACCAGATCCCAGCACACCTTCCCCACTTGCAGCAGCCACAACACGCCCAGCCCCAGCTCTCCCCAAGCTCAGACCTGGTTCTTGGAGAGTGAACGTCAGCCGGAGTGCGGAGGTGACAAAACAGCTGTAGTTTCCACTGCACCTTTTCTATACCCTGTATCCCAGCATGCTTTGCAGCTGAGGGACAGTAACACCTACCTCTTCTCTAGCACTTTTCATTAGTAGAGCTCACAACACTTCACAAAGCAGGTCAGTAGCGTTACCCACATTTTACAGATGGGGAAACTGAGGCACAAGGAGAGGCTGGGACTTGCCTAAAGCCACCCCAGCAGCAGAGCCAGGAATAGAACTGAGGACTCCTGAGGCCTAATCCAGGCAAACACTCTTTGCTCTACATCAGATTGAAATAACAAGCCCACAATGTAAGACACAGGGAGCCAAATTCTGCCCTCAACCCCACGCTGTCCCCCTGGTATAAGTGGAAATGCCAGTCTGACCCTCCAGCCCTGGCGATTGCTCTGAAGTTGCAGTTGCTCTGATTGTGGGTTGTGCCAGACGGGTGAGGCAGGAGCTACCTTGAAAGTGTCGTGTGCGCCGATCCAGTAGGCCTGCCCTTTAGTGTAATCCAGCGGCTTGCCCATCAGGTGAAAGATGAAGTCATTTTCCTCTGCGCTGTGGATGGAGGCCAGATGGGAATTCCTGCCGTGGCTTTGACACGCCACCTGAAA